GTGCCCGTAGGGCTTCATTCTGGGCGAGTTTGAAGAAATTCGATTTTTTCGCTATTTCCAAGTCTAGTTGATATTTAGGCGAAGCTGCTCTTAATTACTGGTGAATCCTGAAATACTTGTTCCATGCATTCGGTATGTGAATATAATTTAATCTCTCTGATTTGAAATATTTTTATGAAAGGGGACACATCATTTAGTATCCTTTCCAAAGAAGATGGCATAATAACAATCAATCTTTATTTGTACTCACTCTTGCTAAAGAAAAAAATTACAATTTCAATGAAAATATTAAAAGTACAAATTTGAGTACTAGCTGCCTGGAATAACCATAGGGACTAGCGGAGCCAGGCAGCCAGTTAACATCAGCATTAAACAGAAATAAAATACAGGTCAGCAGGAAAACTTGAGCACAAATGCACACACAAGAAGAATAAAAAAGAAGAGTAAAAACGCTATTTCTATGCTATGAAGGAAGTCTAAAATAGTTAAAGTTATATATGAATACAAAACATTAATATAAGAAGAGCACACAATAGCTATGGTAACTAATAACAGCTATATATTAAACTATAAAAGAAAGGTTTGGAGAGGTGACAGAAATGAACAAAATACTAATTTACAGGTAAATTGGAAAACAACACAACTGCTAATAAGAACCTAAGTAACCAGTAATCTTTGACTAGATCGCTTTTTACTGATTTCTTGAAGTTTGAAATAGACAAAGTTTTCAGATTTTCACTAATTGAGTTCCATACTTTGGGGCCCTTAAATCTTATGTTGAATATTCCATAATTTGTTCTTACTTTAGGTGAAGTATAGAACATATTCGAAGCACTTCTTGTATTATAGTTATGTCTTTTATTGCCTTGAGTGAAGAAAGTATCAAACACAGATGGTAGACGTCTATTGCAACATTAAGAAAGACAAGGTCAGGCAGTTTAACAATACTTAAGCGTTTGAAAATTGGACGACAATGCTCATGAAATTTAGAGAAAGTCATCACTCTCATTGCTCTCTTTTGTAAAATAAACAAAGGCAGTGGGTATATGAAGAATAAGTGTTACCCCAAGGAATTAAACCATAGGTTAAGAAGGGATATATTAAGGCATAATATAGTTTAACCAGTATATCTGAATTCATATAATAACGAAGTATAGAAAGAATCCCAATATTTCGCTTAATCTTTATGGCAATAATCCTCATCATTCATTTCATCCGTCAAAAGAAAACTTCCTCAAGTTGATGTACATGACCACGTCAAACTGTCTCCAGCCAGAGAATCAATTCATTAATTAAAATAGAGGAGGAGAGCAGTGAAAATCTGAGGTCTAACTGTGCAAAAAAAAAAAAAAAGAAAAAAAAAGGAAATTAATTAAGCTATACTTGGGCGTCACCCTTTGAATGCTAACTACAAGAAGAAATGTCATTAACTTAGCATCTTCCCCGTTTATACATTATACAATAGTGTGTAGAGCATTGAAGACTACATAACTTCTTTCAACCATCAGAAGGAGACCCCTAATCTCCTTGTGAATACCTCAGTCATTTTGCTAGCTTTGTAGTACAACGTAGTCATGAAGAAAATCATGAAGTACAACAAAACGATTGTTACTACTTGAGGTTTCACTCAATAAAAAAGAAAGAAAGAAATAAAAACATTTAATTAACCTCTTCATCATCAGACTGTAATTGAACCTCAAAAAGGTCTGTCTTCAGGTCAAAAACATTTTACACGATAACTTTTAAAGACACTTTCAAAACCATGCAATTAGTCCATTCAATAACAACAAAACAAAAAACCTAGTGTATATCTGTCATATCAGATTCTTGCACCACTGCAAGAACGTTTAAATTTAGACAACACAAGCTGGAAAATATATATATATATCCAAACGTAGAAAGAAATGTGTCACCTTGAATAGTATGGTGATATCCGGACTGAATTTTAAAACATTCATTGCATGTAAGCTTTATATTCTTAAATCTACAAAATTAAGCTCATTTGCAGTACAGCGTCAACGGTTTTCGTCGCTTATTTATATGAATATGGCGAACAAAAACCAAACGGGTCTCTTCCCAGAGGCAAGTCAAGATATGACGGGTAATTCAAATGAGAGCAAACAAAATCTTTTAAAATTCAGACTTTTAAAATTTAGACTCATCGGGCCAAAAAGTTCCCGCAGCCGAACACGAATTAGAAAATTGTGTCACTTGCAAAAATCAGCCATTTACGGAAGGAAAGGAAGGAAAACTTGGCTTACCTTTCAATCATGCTGTGTTTATTGTGTTAAGTCATATGTAAACCAATATCTGCAGCAAAAGAGTATTGTAAATAAACAAAGCACGTGCTTCCGCTTGGCACTGAATGAACAAAGACACCAATGGACAAAAGAAATAATAACACTCGGAGAAAGCGACAAAACCAGGCTAACATTTGAAACATACTTACTTTTGCTTAATCCGCATTCTCTACGACAAGTAGAAGCTCCAGCTGGGCAAAAATCCACAATAATCATTATTGGTCGAAGCTCCCGTTTGCAAAATAACGTCTGCAGAAGGGGCTTCCCCCCGTTTTAATTTAATAAGCAAGTTGCGCTTCGTTTTTAGTGCTTAGGTAACAAACAAGAAGGGAGGGATTCCCCCGAATGACTTAGGTCATAACCTATTCGTATGGCTTTTTCATGTTTTGACCGATTACAATGAGAGAGGTCCAGACAGAGCTGCTGGAATCTCGGTTCTCCGGAAAATTTTTGATGATTTCTCAGCTATAAGTGAAAACTTTCAGCTCATTCTTCAGCTTTAAGTAAACTATCAGTAAACTTTAATTTGCGATTCGTGCGGATTTCAGCGATAAGATAAGTTAGAAAACGTATTGTTTCTCAGCTGACAATCCAAATTTTGACCTATTCTCAGCTGTCAGTTAAACAATATTCTGGCTATTCCAACTAAAGGGGAAAAAAATCCATAGCGGAAAACTGTTGACACTCATCAGTTCTAAGTAACACTTAGCTCACTACATCAACTTGAATTTGAAAAAAGGAAAATGATCATGGGGCGCTTAGTGGATTTAAAAAATTAACATCTTGAGCGTTCGCCATTCGATGGTCAGTTGAAAGCAAAACTGCCATACTTCTACCGTAAAGAGTGGGTTAACCCTCGAAATTTTAGCTTTTCAACGTAGCTAGAGCAGTTAATTTACTTATATCAATGTCAAGTCGTCAGATAGCTAAGCGCACCCCATGCCGCCTATTTATTTTGCATTTCTTTTTCATAACCTAATAGAGCCGAGAAGTAGTTTAGAGAAATGGACTCGAGCTGAGATTTATATTGCATTTTACAATTTTCATTTATTCCTCTAGACTTTAAATTAGATTACAACAGGCTAGTCAACTTTTTTTAAGCAGTAAGTTGCTTAAAGAATAAAAACAAAGGAAATACGTATTCTTTCCGACACTATGTTACTCTAAATTCTCGCTTTCTTCATGTTACCTTAACATTACTACTACGTGTCAGTATTTTTTCATGTACCTTATTCATAATTGAATATTTCAAAGCACGACTCGTTGCTAAAACATAAATTTATCAGCTACACCTCACTTTGGTACCCAGACGGGGACTCCCAGGGTAGGAGTACGAGCAAGTCGTTCGTTAGAAAAATATATATATTTGATACATATTTGAAAGAGAAAAAATGGCTTATTCTAAGAAAAAAGGGGGATATTGAGCTAAAGTTAAAAATTTTGCGTTTGGTATTTCTGCCGAGGGAGTTTTTTGGACAGAAGATGACCAAAGTCAATCATCGATTTAATCTATATACAACTTAGTACTAGCGCTAAAACTGTCCGTTGAGGTCATGGCATATTTTACTTCTCATGCGATCACTCGCTGCCGTCCTGGTCATTCTTGCCGACACCTGACAGAGGAAATAAACAAGCAACAAAAATATATAATTATTAAGTACACTAGAATTGAGTTACTTCATTAGGTCCCAATTACAGAGCTGATTTATTTCAGCCCATTAGATTCTGCAAGCGCTCTGATTGGCTCAGTGTGGCATTTTGTCGCTGAAAAAGAAAACCTTTTTATTTAACAAATAAAGAAGCCTCGACTGTGCTCTGTTCTGTTGTAACGCGCGGGAAGCGGTAGAGCACGAAAGAAGTGTAGGGGAAAACACGAGACGCACAGTAAAATAAGCCAATCACGATCCTTGTTAGAATTTTTCAAATAATTTGATTGGCTAACGGAGCGACAGCTGTCAATCACAAACTGGACTTCAGCTATGCTTTCAGTTTCGAGTAGTTTGAGTGGCTTTCGAGAGAAGAACCATGCCTTCAAAGTTCGCTTTTAAGGTTACTTCAAACCTTCGCGGGAGTCCTCCAGAAAAAGATTCGTACGCGTGCTGTTTTCAAGGAAACCCCCACAAACTATATATCAACAGAAAGGTTATAAAATGTAGAACTCGATAAAATTATGTTTTGTTTTGGATCTTGCTTTCCAAAGGCGGCAGAGGCCGTCAACTCCAAAATGACCGACTGACGTTCCAGCGAATTAATCGGGTATCAAATGCGATCGTTCATGCAAAATAA